TTAGCGCATAAAGAAAGAAAAAAAAAAAAAAATTTTTTTTTTTTTATCTTACATGCATAGGCAAAGAGTAGTAGTTTAGTTTGTGATGTTAGGTGGGAAAGTCTGATAATAATAATACTACTACTGCTATTGCTTCTGAACTGAGCTGGGTAGTTTTCTGCGAAGAGAAATTGTCTTTGTTTGTTAATAAATAACCTTTATCACTTACTTAACCAATACCTGCTATTANNNNCCACGTTTAATCTCGGATAAAGACGAACTAAGTTATTTCCGTCAGTTTTACAAAAAAGAAAAAGAAAAACACAAAGAAAACAAGGAAATATAGTTTACCTTCTTCTCTTATTCGCAGAATTCGTTGCATAGCGACTTAATCTTCCAATTGATATGTTTGGGAGATGATTATAACTTAGGAAGCTTGGGTAACTTTGTGACTGTTTACTTCTCTATGTATCTAAACCATCTGTCGAACAGTAATCACTTCAGGAGAAAATTTGTAAGTGTTGTACTAACATTTTTGTTACGTTGTCAGGGTAGTCCTACAACGACGAATTTCTGACAGTTCAGATTTTACTTACGATTTATTTTTACGTTTCCGTTGATTGATATGAGATGAATGTTGAGGATTAGTGAACAAATTATCAAACGAGGTATAGTTTTTTCTTCTATTTTTTTTTTTTCCTTACTTTTTTTCCTTATCTTTATCATACTTCCATCTAGATAAATAATAGGTACAACAAATATAAATGTTGTAGTTGCGGTACGTTCGTCGTCCTAAGTATTCTTTGATATACTGGTCATTGGTCGTCAATAGTAATAGTGTATTAAATATATTTGTATTCGACGATATCTTATCATTTATGAACATGATTAGTAGACTTATTATAGGTAATTTTCACGAATGTTGTTGCGCCAACCTAGTGTTGAATTTACTAGTTATTTCATTTTTTATAGGGACGTACTGTGTGATATCTTTAACGGACACTAAATAGAAATATTCTGTCTTTATAGTCCTGACCGATGGAGATTAAATTCGTTCGTTTTGTATCATCTTTATAATGTAATCCTAAGGCATATTTATCTTTTCTCTACCTTCCCAGATGTGGTCCCGCTTTTCATATCCAATATCTTGGACTTTATGAAGGTTTCAGCTTCAACCTTCATTTTGACTAGTTTTTTCAATTTTCAAGTTGACTTGGATCGTTGGATTTTTTCAAGAGGCAGCTAAAACCTTCATCTTGAAAAAGCCAAGAGGCAGCTGAAACCTTCATATTGAAGAATACAATTTCAACTTGACTTGGACGGTTATTTTTTGTCAGTTTTTTCGTGATTCGGTCCATGATTCGATCCGTTTTTTGTCCCATCTAACTATCATAGACTATCATAAAATAATTTATATAAGTATGTTACTAATTTTTCGTTAAGTAACAATTTATTTGTATATCTCCAGATATCTAAAATATCTGCTACTAAAATAAATAAATAAATAATAATTTTTTCATTATATTTGTCTCATGTTTCTCAGGTATGACAATAAATGGTAATAATGTTTTTTCTTCATATATTTTATGTCTTTTTGCTCGTTTTATTTTTTTTATTTTTTTTATGTTCTTCGAATCTCTAAATTCTATGAAGAAACCGAATTATATTTTTTTATATTTTACATTAATCTGTTTCTTTTTTCAACCTTTTCACCACGTTATATATATATATATATATATATGTCATATAACTTCATCTCCATTCTGTTCGTGTTTTACTGTGTTTTTCACAACGATTGTTTTTATTTTTATTTTTTGGACATCATTCCATATATTGTAGTAGAACTTCTTATGTTTAGTGGAAGAATAACTACAATCTGTTAGTTAGGTTTTACTATATACAGTAAATGGTCCATCACAGTTGGAAGGAGAACTACTTTATGTTTTCTAGTAGGGTCTATTGTTTGTTCCATTTCATAAACACAATGGTCAATAAAATAAAAAAATCAAAACCAAACTGAATTTGTGTTTGTGTGTGTATATATGAGAAAAAAAAAAATCATATCCGTTATCAAGTGGTTTACGTCATGTATATAACGTTCTGTTTCCTTGACACCGAGCTCTCTAAACCCCACCAAATAACTTTACCAGCTTATTACACCTAAGTGGTAAAGGGCAAATAATTGTAATCCCAGAACACAAAATAGTTTTTCTCATTAAGAAACAAGGAGGAAATGATTATTATGATTGTTATGATTGTTATGATTGTTATAATAATGTATTTAATTTACTCTTTCTGTATCATCGTCATGAGATCTCTTTTTTCCACAATCTTCTTCTAGACTTGAATCAGCATCGTAGTTGTTTACAAGATCCTTCCAAAAGTCTGTTAATTTGGTCGACTTCTTTATCTTGCATACAATATGTTCTTCTTCTTCTTTTTCTTCTTTTTCTGTCTCTTGTTGTTTAATAGGGGACATAAAACGTAGAATACCCTTTGGCTTTTCTTTATGAATTTGTTTTTTTGTTGCTGATGTGTGGTAAATCTTCTTTTCTTCAGGTGCCTGCACAACAAGACCATGTTGCTTGGCCTTGTCACTGATATAAACAGGCGTGTTTTTGTTTTTTCGTGCCTTAAAGTAACTATTGATAGTCGACATTGTTTTATGTAAGGAAAATAAAAAGAGATGTTTTTGTGTGTGTATGTTTTTATTTATTTAAAAAAAAAAACGTGACGTTTCTCAACATGTAAAATATAACAGCAAATTTTATTGGATTGAGAAGAATTAAAAATGGTGTTCCATAAATCATACAACACTTTATACTCTCATCTTATTTCGTCAGAGTAAATAGTAAAGTATTTACGTAAAAAGTTCCCAAAATAGAACACACATTGACTACCTCCTAAAGATTGATAAAGAAGATCTTCCTGTTGTCAGAATACTATATCGTTTATTTCAATGAAATGCATTCAGCTTTATTCAAATAAGAAGAGATATGTAGTCTTTTAAATACTCTTTCTGCTACAGATATGCTATACGTGTCTATTCATTTTATATGAATACAAGTCATTATTCGAAACAGCTTGTTCAATTGATCATTATTGAATGGAATAGAAAGATATGATTGTGAATTAAAAAAAAAAAAACATAAGTCCGTGTTTGGCTGATCGTTTATAATATCGCTAATGAGAGAAAATGAATATAGTTAATACTCCAGTGAGTTTTTCCCTTGAAGGGTCTACAGAGAAAGAAAAGAAAAACAAAATGATTTGAATGAAAAAGACACCCATTTACAGTTTTTCGAAAGCTGAAATGGACGGTCCGTTTTCACCGACCTTAGCGATAAATGATAACCTTTTGTGTCTATCAATACATTGATTTAAAGAGAGAAAAGGAATCTTAATGAAAATGTATGCAAATTAACAGTCCCAGCATTTCATGTTTGATCAAAATTGCATGATTAAAATAGATCGTAAAATAGAAGGTAATGTCAAGTTTACATAAAAGAAGACATGATAAAGATACGTTTTATTAAGAAGGAGAAGACATTACCAAAGTACTATTTACACAAAAAAGGAGTTCAATCGATTCATAGATCATTCACCACTGACTCATTTTCATATAGTATCAATACAGTCAAAAAAAAGACAAAATGCATTCATACTATAAATAAACTGACAAGTCGAATACATTTTAAAGATTTAAAAAAATACTTTATTGTTGATAGAGTAAACAAGAGAAAAAGACATGTTCATTCGAAGCTTATGAACACTGTTATCTCATCACAGAAAAAGGGTGACTGTCAAAAAAGCATCACTTCTATTATACTCAATTTGAAAATAACACTCTCATGCCTGTTTCTTTTCTTTTCTTTTTTCAGTCAATACTAGGATTTATGAAACTAAATTAGAGTTGTATATAACCCTTTAGAGACAATATCTATAATTATTAATAAAATATCATGGAAGAATCAAAGAAAACTCTTTTTTTTTAGAAAGTTAAAACTAAATGCAATATTTGAAAAAGAAATGGAAGCCTTTAACAAAAAAAGAAAGCTAGTTTTTAAAATGAACAGATGAGCAATACAAAAAGAATTAAGTGGATAGAACGGTACAAAAAAAAAAGGCTTAATCATGTTTGAGGTTGATCCTTTTTCATTTTTATTCATACAAAGCCTTTTTAAATAAGAAAAATATTTATTCCAAAAAAAAAAAAAGTTAGCTCCCAGCGGGAATCGAACTCGGAACCTTAGATAACACCTTAATAGAATCAGTCCGTATTAGACCGCTATACCAGGGAGCTCAATTGTACACTCCTGGAAATTTTTTAATTTGGTGTGATTTTTTGGTAATAAACAGTCACTAGTGCAAATGCTGGATAATAGAAAAATAAAAAACTTTATAATACAAAATATACTAAACACTATATATTTTTTCTCTATAATCGAGTCAATTGGTATATAACTTTACAAAAAAAACATGGTCATAGAATAAGGGCTCGGAAATTCTACATACTTGATCAATATACATATACAATGGAGCATTCCCTTTGTTTCATCATGATATGTCTTGAAATGCCTCTTTTAATACACAAGTTGATCAAAAGAAGTGTTTAAACCATATTTATATGGAAACGAGTATTTTTGACGACCTCTATATTTTGTTTTTTTCTCGGAACAATGTATTCTTGAAATGACGATTACTCTGAGCGCTGAAAAAACTGGATACAATAAAAAATGGTAAATCAAACAAAACAGAAATACCAAAAGAACCCACAGCCAGTATGTATATGTAACAATACAAATTGAATCAGCCATGGTTTTGTAACTGGAATAAACGCGAATGTTTGGTATATGTTTTTTGGGGATACTAAACCTTTTATTTTTGAATAACTTTATGAACTCGTATACATGAATCACCAAATTGGGAGAGAGCCACACTTTTTCGCATTTGCAGACGTGTGCCAATAATAAATTATCGGATTATCAAAATAGATGTATCCACAAACGCACATATTGATTGTGTTGACGTTTCCTTTTTCTACTAAATAATAATTATGGAAGAAGAGTTCAACGAGACAGGGCTCTATATTGCCTATGGTGCAGTGCTCACCATGGCAGTCCTACCCATCTACACCGGCTCCTTTGAGGCCGTGCGCGGCATGAAGAGACCTGCCAATGCCAAAAAGTCTAAAAAGAAGTCAGATTCGCCACTTGACGATTCCGATGATGAGGACGAGGAGTCCGTGATCGAGAGTCTCACCTCGGCAGATGCCTACATGTTTCCCATCATTGGCTCTTGTGTCCTTTTCTCCATGTACCTTGTGTTCCGTTACCTTGACAAGAAATACATCAACTATTTCTTGACCGCCTACTTTTCCATCATGGGATGTGCTGCAGTGACCAAGGTGTTTTTGATGCTGGCAAAGAAGTTTGTACCTAACTTTATCTTGAAACATGTAGCAAAGTATAAATTAACCATGTCCAAGCGTGGAAAGAGTAAGGTTTTTCTGTTTTTTAAATATACGATAAAAAAAAAAAAAAAAAACTAAAAAATGATCTCCATATAGAACTCTCTCATGTTAATTTTTCTGCCATCCATGGCCTCTTATTACTTGCCTCTGTTGGCCTCACTGTTTATTACGGTATGACTAAGAACTGGATTGCCTCCAATATCTTCGGACTCTCCTTCTCCATCAACGCCATCCAACTTTTATCCCTCGATTCGTTCAAGACGGGTATGATTCTGTTGAGCGGTCTCTTCTTTTATGATATCTTTTGGGTGTTTTATACACCTGTGATGGTATCGGTGGCAAAGAACTTTGATGCACCCATCAAGTTGCTCTGGCCTCGTGATATTATTTCATATCTTTTGAATAATTTGGAAAAGGTTCATTTTACCATGCTCGGTTTGGGTGATATTGTTATTCCAGGTAAGAACAAAAGATCAATCATAGTGTGTGTGTATATATATATTCTTATCAATCAATGATTTTATATAGGTATCTTTGTTGCTCTCTGTCTTCGTTATGATCGTCACATGTCATGGAAACGTAACCCTCAAGGCAACTTTAGATCCACCGACTTCCCCAAGCCTTACTTTACCTCCTGTATGATTGCTTATATTGCAGGCTTAGCCACCACAATGGGTGTGATGCACTTCTTCCATGCTGCCCAACCTGCTCTACTCTATCTTTCACCCGCGTGTATCCTGTCTGCATTGCTGACTGCTGCGGTGCGTGGAGAATTAAAGGAATTATTTGCTTATACCACCGAGGAGGAAGATGAAAAGAAGAAGAAGGAAGAGGAGGAAAAGAAAAAGGCACAAGAACAGATCGAGATTGAAGAGTCAAATAGTGTTACAGTTGTTGAGTCTGTTGAATCTGTTGAATTGGAGACTGTTGAACTGGAGGAAGAAGAAGAAGAAGAAGAAGAAGAAGTGGCTGAGAGCACAGGACGTAAAAAGTCTCAGGCAAAAAAGAGAAAGAATAAGAAACGATAAAAAAAAAAAGGATTTTATTCATGAATATATCATTCATTTCAATACAAAAACAATCTATAAAAACCAGCAGCTGCGAATGCTATTATACAAAAATAAATAAAAATAGAGAGAGCATATCTTATTTTCATACACTTACTGACACCTGCCAAACCTAAACCTAATACTTTGTTTGTATAACCAATGCTTTTAGTCATTTGATTCGCTTTACGTAATGAAAAATAACCCACTCCAAGTCCAACTGCACCTCCACTGAGTCGACAAGGTAAGCAATCTGGCTTTTTGTTTGCTTCCATTATTTGAAAAAAAAAAAAAGATAAACGGAATGAAAAGCAGAACAAACACGTACACACTTAAAAAAAAAAAAAAAAAAAATCTCATTAAAATTCCGGTGAAACATTTTTATTCTGTTCTAATTTACAAAATAGACTCTTTACGAGATAACCTGTATATCTCTACACCCGTCTCTTTCAAAATAGTCGAAAACCCACCCTCACCACCAATCCAACCATCCACATAAGCCGCACTCTCCAACTGCTCATCCTGAATGAGGACAATATCAAATTTAAGCAAACAAATATTGAAAAATGTACTCTCCTGTTCCAGACTCAGCCCTCTCTTCTTGTATCCTAAATAAATGCAGGTCTTCTGGTGGCCAACCAAATGATCCAGCGTACTGACAAGAGCACTAAAATGGGCGGGCTCATAGAGAACATCGGAGGCAATGACAAAATCGATGGGTCCACCCTTGAGTATAAGTTGTACATCCTTGGACTCTCCCCACTTGAGGGGTTTGATGAGAGTCTTGGGGTTATCGAGGTGATTGATCTTGCGATTGTATTCGAGCAAGTCGAGCGCCTCTTTGAGATCCGTCATGATGACCTCGGGTTTGTATTGGGGAAAGATCCGTTTGTATGTGGCTGCAATGACCAATCCTACACAACCAGTTCTATTCAAACCATTCATTTAGTACACACACACACACACACACACAACGAGAGAAGATTTATATATATATTTACCCAGCGCTAAGATCCAAAATCCTCTTTTTATGAAAACGTGCAGGGTTTGCATGTATCATCTCTGTAAACATCTGTGATAGGACAATCGCCGAATCCCACATCTTTCCTGGTGTCCCTAAATGCCAGATCTCTTTAATCATCAAATACGACTTGTCCAGCATATGAAATACGTGAAAGCTGTCCTGTGCGAAGCACTTGCTACTCCAATCCTTCTGGTATAGATCCACCTCTTTTTGTGATGCTGACTCTGGTTTGACAACAAAGGGGCCAATCACTAAAGGAAATGCCCGAACCGTGGGCTGCCCCGCCACCCTATTTTCATCCTTACTACCACCGTTCACCACAGGATTCACCTTTAGGTAGCACGTCTGATCCCTAACCATGCTGTGCTTCATATCCAAGCTCACCTTATATTCAAGACCGCCTCTTGTATTATGCTGAAATCCAGAGATGGCAGATGGATCATCAAAGAAATCCCAAGCATCGCGTTGAATGGGTCTTGTCTGAATGGTAAACTGCGTTGCACCCGATGACACGATCCTCTTACCTTGCTGAAGCAACAGCTCAGCGTCCACCTGCAAGTAGCACTCTCTCTCTTTAGCCCCTCTTAGTGGTAGGCCTAGCTCATTCACCAATTGGAGATCAAGTCTATTCCATTGATTCAGGTAGACCTCATTTATACATGGTTTGAATAGCAAGATACGGTAAAGTGTAGAGTATTTGGATAGGCTCTCATAAAAGTCTTCTTCTTCAGGTGGGGTGTAGAGGGTGGTTGGGAGTAGTCTATGTGGTATACGCTTAATATCCATTTAGGTAATTATCTCCTCAGATTAATTATGATTATGGCAATAGAAAAAAAAAAAAGGGAAGGAGGTGGATGATGTATTACTTGTATATATATATATATTTATATATATATATACATATATATATAAAGGGTATATTATATATATATCAGAGATAAATAAAGAAAGAAAAGGGAAAAGAGAAGGGAAATAAATAGAGGATTATGTGATATTTATATTTATTATTAAAAAGGTCAGACTATGAAACTTTT